ACACACACACACACACACACACACACACATGCTCTGCATCATTAGTCATTAGGATGATGCAAATTAAAGCCACAGGAGGTGCCAGGATAGACCTATTGGAATCCCTCCCACCCCACCAAAGAATAAAGTCGAGATACCGAGTGCTAGTGAGGGTGCGGAGCAGCGGGAATGCTTGGGCATCATCCATGAGACCTGACGGGGTGGGGTCGTTGTTTGAAAGCAGTGTGGCCGTTTCTTATAGAGTTGAAAACAAACTTCCCATGTGATCTAGCAATTCCTGGATTCTCACCCAGGTGAAGTGAGACGCCACGCTCACACAAATCCCTGCACGGGAAGGTCTAGCTTTACTCACGACTGCCGAGACCCGGACCCGACCCAGGCGCCTTCAGCAGGTGGCTGAGGCGGTGCCGTGTGGGGCGGGGCTGGGCTGTGCCTGGCATTCCTGGACTGCAGGAGCCGGGCCCAGCGAGGGCAGGGGCCAGGGCCGTCGCCTAGCGGCAAGGCGGGGTGTGCTGACGGGCGGGGAGACGGGGTTAGGGGTGTGGGGGTGATCTGTGAAGACATGGGATTTGCTGGCGACCTGGATGTGAGGGTGGGGGTGAGGACTTGGGGCTGAGCGACAGGAAGGCGAGGTCTGCAGGTGACACACAGGAGAGCGGCGGTGCGGGGTGCCTGCTGCGGTGTGCTGGGAATGTGAGGCTCCCCCCGAGCACTGCCTGCAGGGGCCCCCCCGGGCTGCGGTCCACCCACCATGCCCTCTGCGCCACTCACTGAGGCCTGAGGGTGTGAGCGTCGTGGAACTCTCCCAGGTGGCTCTCGCCTTAATTTTTGGTAATTTCAATTTACATGTGGTCTTTTAAAAAATGAAACACACCCACATTCATTCAACCGAAATTGATGGAGCTTCTGCTACCAGGGTCGCCTCAACAGGCAAACAGATAAAAAGCTCTTATCACGGGATTTGTTTTCCAGAGGCCGAGAGACACATGAACTGGCCACGAATGTGTCCTGGCGCACTGGCAGCCACACGGAGGGACGCCCTGGGCAGGAGGGGGCACGGGGGCAGAATCCGGTAGTTTCTGTGGGTTCCAGCTCTGCACTTTGCTCCCTAAGATCACGCTGCCACCTACTCCTGCCTTTCCCGCAGGCGCGTACGATCCCGGGCGGCCTGCTGGCCCTGCCCAGAGGAGGGCCGGGCTGTGAGATGAAGAAACCGGGCTGACCTCACTGGGAGGCTCAGGGGGACAGGACAGGAGGGCAAAGAGAGGAATGGGGCAGGTGGGGCTCTAGGGGGAGGACCCGGCGTGGGGCAATTCCTGAGTTGACCATCAGCGTCCTGGCTTTGCCCCAGAACACTGCTTCTCACAGCAGCGGTGAGGGTGGCCCGTCACAGCTCCTCTGCCCCGCCCCGCTCTGTGTCTTCCCTGCCGCCTCCCCAGTCCGTTCTCAGACTTAGGGAGGCGCAAAGGCCACACCCAGAACATCGGAGAACTTGGGGCTCATGCCCGGCCCACCTGCGTCCAGGGGATGCTCTGCATACCACACACACACATGCACTCACACACATACTGCTCATACACACACACACATACATGCAGTCACACACACTCATACACATGCTCACTCACACACATGCTCACTCACACCCATGATCTCGCATTCATACACATGTACACACACACTCATACACACGCCCCCGCAATGCTCACACGTGCACACTCACACACACTCATACACATGCACAGCTCATACACATGTATGCTCACGTGCTCACACACAGGCACACTCACACACGCACACTTGCACATGCTCACACATGCATGCTCACATACATGCACATAAACACTCCACACCCACTCACAGGGTGAGCCGGCCCAGAGCACACGGGTGCCTGGATCCCAGCCTGTCTGCACCCGGTCAGCCGGGCACGTGGGGTCCAGGGTGGCTGGTGGCACGGAGGTGGCGGGAAAGGCTACCTGTCCTGAGCGGGGTGAGCCAGGCCCGCCAACGCCCCTACCCCGCGGGCTCACCGGTTGATCTCAGATTTGCAGACCAGCTCGAAGCTGTACTCCTTGGCCTTGGTGGGCTGGAAGATCACGTCAAGTTGCAGAGTTTCGAGTGGCAGGATCGTGCCAAACCCGTCGCCGGGCTGGATGTCCACACACTGGGAAAGGGAAAATGCCCCCCAGGACAGTCAGCGGGAGAAGGGCGTAGACAGGAGTGCAGTGGGGGTGTGAGCGTGAGCCCCACAGGAGAGTCAGCGGGAGAAGGGCATAGACATGCGTGCAGTGGGGGTGTGAGCGTGAGCCCCACAGGAGAGTCAGCGGGAGAAGGGCGTAGACATGCGTGCAGTGGGGGTGTGAGTGTGAGCACATGACTGAGTGTGATCGTGTGTGAATGAGCGTGAGCGAGTGTGAGGTGTGCCTGGGTGTGAGCCCGTGTGTGAGAGCATGAACAAGTGTGTGGTGTGAGGACGAGTGTGCGTGTGCTTGCGTGTGGATGTTGGGGTTGGTGGGGGGGCAGCCTAGGGAGGGTGGGGGTGACCGAGCCTGGCCCTGTCCTGGCTGCCTTGCGAGGCCCAGGCAGGGAAAGTTCTGGAAGGAAGGTAGGGAAGAGGAGACTGCGGCCCTGTGTGTGCACTGGGCCAGGGAGGGGCGGAGCGGGTGGGCAGGGGGTTCCCATGCTGACGGGGGACCAGCTGTGGTGCCTGAGGGTGGCATGCGGGGTGGGCAGGGCTGTCCCTGGAGCAGCAGCTGCCACACCCTGTCGCTGGGGCTGCCCAACCTTGTCCCCCACATCCCCCAGGGCCTGGCCATGAGAGGTACCTTGGGAAGCCTGACGAAGCCAAAGTCCTGGGGCAGGAGGGAGTGGTTGCGGAGGCTGACCCCCGTCCTGACAGCCTCGTGGATGGTGCAGCAGCCGAAGTCCAGCTCCGCGGGGCTGATCTCCAGGTCCGAGGTGGTGACCACGGCGTGGACGGTGAACCCCACGGGTTTGGTCTGTAGCACAGAGGGCGAGAGTGCACTGCCAGCCACCGGAGACTGATGTCACTGCTGCCTGTGGCCAGTGACGGCTGCTTCCAGGACACAGTGGGCTCTTCTCCCCGCGATGACTCTGCCTCGCCAGGCCGCGGAAGCCGGCCACACAGGACGCCCAGGGGGCAGAGCCAAGGTGGGCAGTGGCTGCCGCTGAGTCCCAGCTGGGCTGTGGCACGTGAGTGCACGCATGTGCATGTGTGGGCGTGTGCGTGCATGCACCCCGGAGTGTGGGTGCACGTACAGTTTTGGGTGCCTGGGAGGTGGCCCCGCCTGGCCCTGCACATGCCTCAGAGGCCTCTCTCCAGCCCACAGACGCCTTCCCTGCTTCCAACCATGTGGGGCTGTCTGGGCAGCAGCCAAATCTCCCCCCGGCCGCTGGACACCCGCTGGGAGGCACCTGTGGGTGGGCTCTGGAACCGGCCCTGTCTTTTCGGGGGCCCTCACCGGGCACGGAGCCCGGCCTCCCAGAGCAGCCCTCTGCGGCTAGGAGTGCCCAGCACAGACCTGGTCCGCCACCCAGATTGTCATCGGGGCCTCCAGGACTCGGCTTTCCTTGTCAAAGTACTTCCCCGCGTCCTCCGGGAGGGAGTGTCTGAAAGAGGCGGGATGCACCTGAATGGACTTTTCTTCTCTATAGTTTGTGAAATAACAGTAAAACCCACCTGTAAGTGGCGCTTCTAAGTCACACGAGAGCTACGAAACATACGAAGTAGAAGAGCCCTGAGCTGTGTGCTGCGCCAGACCTGCGTATTCACGGGTCGGTGCGGGACATGCGCACTGTGGGTTGGGGGGTCTCTCCACGCGTCCGAGTCTCTGTGGGTGGCAGCCCCCAGCACGGCGTGTGCGAGTGTGCGGCTGAGTGACACGGACTCATCGTGGAACAATTGCATTTAAGTAAACGGGAGTAAATCCAACAGTTTTACACTAAAAAGGAGTTTGTTATTATACTTAAAGGAATCCTAAAAAGCCCCTTTAAAATGCATAATCACTTTAAAAAATAGTTTGAGCTACAATGACAAGAGGAGATTAACGTTGTTATAGAAATATCAGAGGTACAAACAGGAAACTCCGCTGTGCCACGATGGGCAGCCGGCCAGGCCCCAGCTGCACCCTGGCCAGTGAGGTCAACGCCCAGTACAGACACTCCGCTCTCACCCGGCCCAGCCGGCCACGCCCTGGGCCACACCTCGACAGTGCTTTGTCCTGGTCCTGGTCCCTGCGGCACCGGGTGGTGACCCCGTGGCAGGAGCCAAGGACAGCTCCAGGGAAACCAGCGGCAGAATTAAAAACAGGACTGCCAGCTCCCAGAGCACTGCAAGAGCTCAGGGAGGTAACCAAAGTCCACCTGGCAGAAGACAGAAGCCACAGGACATGCCAAGGAAGCCTGAAAAGAGCCTTGGAATGGGGAAGAGAGGAGACAGCGGTGATGGGCGTGTGCCCGGGACGCCCACAGGGGAGACGGCTGCCAGACAGCCGCAAAGAAACAAGCTTCAGGCCGACACAGGCCTCTGGGGAGTTACAGAGAGAGGGCGAGGAGGCCCGGCAGACAGCAGGAGGCCAGGGGCGCCCCATCCCGCGAGTGGAATGCGCAGCGCCCTCCCTCGGCCACCCCCTCACCTCCCGCCTGGCCCAGGCCTCAGGTGCTTACCGGGGCAGGAACTTGAGCTGCAAGGAGTAGGAGGAGTGGGCCTGGATGTAGCCCGTCTCAGGCAGGAGCTCCATGTGTCCCCTCAGCTCCTTGCAGACCTCAAACTTGAGGCGCAGGGCTGCGTTTGACCTGTGGGGGCATCGAGGCACCTGTCAGGCTGACTCTGGGCTTCGTCCTCACGTTATTAAAGTGTCACTAACAGCCAAGACACCGGCAGCGCCCAGACCACGCATATGCATCCTGGTGGTTAGAGAATCTTCCAAGCCCTGCTTTGTAATGGTTGGTTTTTCTGAAATGAAATCTGATGAGAAACTCTTAAAAATAACTGCATTGCAATTAAAGCACGGTCCTAATCAGTTCTCAAAAGCCTGAGTGTGTTCTGGGAAGAGCTCCTGCCAGGCAGCTGCAGGGTGCAGGGCCCCCTCCCTCCTCCTGTCCAGGCCAGTCTGGGGCTAGGTGTCCACACACCCTGCAGCACAAGCACAGGACGCTCCGGAGGCCCTGGGACGGCCAGGCCTCGGTCAGTGACCGCAGCGTCCAGCTCAGGACCAGCCAGAGGAAGCCACACGTGCCCCCCAGCCCAAGCCCCAGAAGCCCGGCTTCTGGCCGCTGCCTGCTGCTCCCGAAAGCCAACAGCCCCCAGGGCCCCGGAGCCTCCCCTCCCTGCCCGCCTCGGGTCTCTCACATCCCCGTGGGGCTGACCTCTCAGCTGCAGGAAGAAAAGGAAGCCTGAAAAGGTAGACCCAGGGGAGCTCTTTTCTGACCACCTGAGAATTGTGGGCCACGGTTCCAGAACCTTCCAGAGCCTTCCGGCACCTCTGCAGATGGCTTTGAATGCTCCTTGCCTGTCCTGTGGCTGGTGGGGGCTGCTGCACAGTGTCCCCTCTCTCTGCACAGCCACGGCACAGGGAACGAGGAGCAGAGGTGACCAGGCCATGCCGATGGACCCCAGACGAGACACAAGGGCCTCAGGGGCAGCCGTGGCCCCGGGAGGACCAGCAGGGGGCACGGAAGTAAAAAGTCTCTCTCTTCTCTCTTGTTCTTTACTCCGTGGCCCCAGGGCTGCGGTGGCCCCGTCTGTCCCCACTGGCCTGCTCCTGACACCTCCCAGAGGCGCAGCCACGACACGTGTCCCCACCGCGCCTGCCAGGCGCTCTGCGCCCAGCTGCTGGGGCCCAGCCCCCACATAGAAGGTCGACCACTTGCGGTGCTCAGAGGCTGCGCCCCCAGCAGACACCACCCTGCGCTCTGCATCCTGTGTGGCTGGTCGTCCCGCTGGTGGCACACAGGACAGGACCGTCTTCCGGCACCAGCATCTCTGGTACGCCCTCGTGCACACATCAGCCACGTTACACAATGGACCAAATGACTGATACTGCATTTTAAAAATTGCTAAGCAGATTTGTGTTGTCAAATGTGTGCCTTGGGAGCCGGGCGTGGTGGTGGCGCCTGTCGCCCGCACGTGGGAGGCTAAGGAGGGGGAGCGCTGTTGCTAGAGCTGGAGGCTGCAGTGCGATTGGTTCCGCCTGTGCGTAGCCGCTGCTCTCTGCCCGGCCAGCACAGCAAGACCCCAGCTTAAAAACAGACTGTGTCCTCGGAGTGGGGCTGAGAGAGCAAAACTCCTCAGCCCCCCCAACCCCGACGACAGGAAGCGCATCGCTGGTCGGAAAGGAGAGCACTTGGCACCTGTGACAGCCCCGCCCCAAACAGACACGCACAAGCCCTTTCTCTTTCCTTTCTTTTTTTTGTGCAGTGGCGTCATCACAGCTCACTGCAGCCTCCAACTCGTGGGCTCAAGGGATTCTCCTGCCTCGGCCTCCCGAGTAGCTGGGACTACAGGCTTGTGCCACCACACCCAGCTAATTTTTCTAATTTTAGCAGAGCCGGGGTCTCAAACTCCTGGGCTCAAGCAATCCTCCGCCTCAGCCTCCCAGGGTGCTGGGATGACAGGCGGGAGCCACCACGCCAGCCCCAAGCCCTTTCTGACGAGTGTGCAGCTCCTCAAGAAGCCAGCTCTGTCCCTGCCCACGCGGCAGAGGCGCCAGGGGCACGCGGACAACCTTGCAGACATGCAGGTCACAGAAGGAGCCCACGCCTGGTCACCAATAGCTGACGTTCGGTCCACGGGGCACGAGCGTCCGGCACGCCAGCCCCAGGATCTGGCAGGCACTGGCCACGGGAACCCATTTCCACCCGGGTCACAGAGCAGGGGCTGCCCCCTGGGTGGCTGATGACCAGGCCCGGCAGCGGCAGTGCTGTGTGCTCTGCACTGCGCTGTTCTGTTCACGGAAATCTGTGACGCTCCAGCTTACGATTCACCCGCTTCTCTCCGTCTCGGTGGGACCTCAGTGAAAGGTTTTTGCTGACGTTCGGACTCCCTTGGAAAACACTGCAGATGGAAACACGCTTCCTTCCTTAGACTCTGTCTGTGCTTCCGGCTGCCACCGTGTGTGCGAGGGGGCTAATGACTCCGGCCCGGTGACCGGGCGTGCAGTGGGTATGAGTTCCTGCGGCTGCTGAAACAACTTACCACAAACTTCGGGGCCTAAAACAACAGGAACTTATTCTCTCAGAGTTCTGGAGGCCAGAAGTCCACAGTGGATCTTACTGGCCGAGGTCACGGTGTGGGCAGGGCCGGTTCCTCCTGGAGCTCCAGAGGAGGGTCCTTTTCGCGCCTTCCTCAGCATCTGGAGGCTGCGGCATTCCGTGGCCTGTGGCCCCTTCCCCGTCTTGCAAGCTGGCAGCGTGGCATCTTCACTTGCACCTCTGACTCTGGCCCTCCTGCCTCCCGTGACGACCTCTGTGGTAACCCTGGAATCTCCAGGATAACCCAGGACCCCCCCATGTGTTTAGCCTAACCGCTTCTGCCAAGCCCCATGTGCCACATCAGGTACCACTCACACCCAGGCCGTGGCCAGCCGCCAGGGCGCTCACCGCGTGTGCACGAGGACAGAGGCCTGGTAGAGGCGGTCGTACATGCAGATCTTCAGGTCCACGCTGGGCTTTGGCACCCAGACCGACACGTCGACGGCCACGCCCATGGCTCTGAAATACAACTAAATTTGAAACGTAAACTCAACGACACGTCATGCCTCCGGCAAGCAGGTGACGCGCACGCGTGCTAACACAAGCTCATGGGGAGACCTACTGGAACTCTCACCCGTATTCGAAGGTTAGTAATTTGACAAGCCACGTTTTCTCATTCTGTGGCATTTTCCATATCATGTCACCTTAAAAATTCTTTTTACTATCAAAATTTGCAAACACAAAAAAAACCCAGAATACTGAATTGCCAGATACTCATCACGCAGCTTCACAGTTATTACATTTTTACTTGTTTAAAAAGCCTTTTGATTACAGAATAACCCATGGTATAGGCAGCACAGAATCTTCGTGACAACACAGACTGGAGACTGCACAGCCCAGGTGTTGAAGGAACCAGGAACAAAGGGGGCGCCTGCTCCCCTCCCCCACTGTGTGCTGCTTCTCCCTGAGACTCTGGGGCTCTGGGGGGGTTGGAGAGGGGTGCGAAGGTTGGAGAGGGGTGAGAAGGTTTTGAGATTTGTGGGTGTCCTGCTGGGAGAACTTGTACACAGCAAAGCCCCCAGGCTGGGCGTGGTCCCGGAGGATCTGCGAGCCCCCGGGCTGGGGGAAGCTTGGCGCCCCAGGGTGACGCTGCCTGGGCAGCAGGCGCTGTCCCAGTGCTGTGGGGGAGCTGAGCGCTCTGAACGCCTGCAGCAGGGCGGGACCCTCCACCTGGGGCAGGTGACCCCCTGCTGGGTCACCAACCTACAGCGTGGGTAGGGGGTGTGGAGGGAGGGGGGCAGGGGTGCGACACTCAGAACTGTCAGATCCTACGCCAGGGAATTCCTGGAAAGTACAGCCCGTTGGTGAGGCTGTGGGGGAGCCAGCATCACGTCCACACAGTGAGCAGCTGCGAACAGGCCACAGCACCAGAGCAACCTGGCTCAGCCACCCTGGCGGGGCACGGGTGCGTCGCGGGGTGTGACAGCGAGGAGAGGTGAGGCATGAAGAAAGAGCTGAGGGTCGGAGGCCTGGCCAGGTTGCAAAGAGGGAGGGGAGGGACGCTCCGAGGGTCTGTGGAGCAGACGCGGGGCGGTCAGCAGGGCAAGCCCCAGTGCGTGCCTGCCCTGCCAGGGTCCAACCCCGAGCACCTAGCACACGGACCAGCCTGCACCACGCTGTCCTCACAGGAGACAGTGGGCAGGTGGCACCCTGGAGCCACCAGAGGGCGCGGCTGACTGCAGGACGGGCCTCCCTGGCTCAGCCAGGGACAGTGAGCAGGCGGGACCCTCTCACCCTGGGAGGCTGGCAGTGTGGACTCCACCCTGCAGCGCCCTGTGCCGGCCAGCCTCTCCCGGAGCTCTTGGTCCCAAGAGCTTAGGTTGGTGCAAAAGTTACTGTGGTTTTTAGCATTGTTGAAATTTGCCATGTGATACTGGAATACATTCTTAAATAAACGTGGTCATGTTATTTGTACACCATTTTAACACACATTTCTCACTTTGTTTTTTTGCTAATGACTTATTACTTGCTGTTTATTTTATATTTATTTTAGACTATGGAAATGATGTTAGACAAAAAGCAATTTTGAGCGATTTTCTTATTTGAGTTCAAAATGGGTCAAAAGCAGTGGAGACAACTGGCAACATCAACAACGCATTTGTGCCGGGAACTGCTACAGTGCAGGGGCGGTTCAGGAAGTTTTGCGAAGGAGATGAGAGCCTTGACGATGAGTAGTGCAGTGGCCATCGGAAGTTGACGATGACTAACTGAGAGCCACCATCGAAGCTGATCCTCTTACAACTACATGAGAAGTTGCTGAAGAATCAACGTCAACCCTTCTACGATCAGATCGTTCGGCATTTGAAGCAAATTGGAAAGGTGAAAAAGCTCGATCAGTGGGTGCCTCATGAGCTGACCAAAAATCAAGAAAATTGTCGTTTCAAAGTGTCGTCTTCTGTTCTTGTGCGCAACAACAACGAACCATTCCTTGATCGGATTGTGATGTGCGACTAAAAGTGGATTTTATGCGACAACCTGCGACGACCAGCTCAGCGGCTGGACTGAGAAGAAGCTCCAAAGCACTTCCCAAAGCCAAGCTTGCACCAAAGAAAGGTCATGGTCACTGTTCGGTGGTCTGCTGCCGGTCTGATCCACTACAGCTTTCTGAATCACATTACATCCGAGAACTATGCTCAGAAAATTGGTCAGATGCACCAAAAACTGCAACACCTGCAGCCGGCCTTGGTCAGCAGAAAGGGCCCAATTCTTCTCCATGGCAACACCCGACCGTGCGCGCGTAACATAACCAACACTTCAAAAGCTGAACGAACTGGGCTGCGAAGTTCTGCCTCATCTGCCAAATTCACCTGACCTCTCGCCAACCGACCACCACCTCTTCAAGCATCCCGGCAACTCTGTGCAGGGAAAACGCTTCCACAACCAGCAGGATGCAGAAAATGCTTTCCAAGAGTGTGTCCAATCCTGAAGTGCAGATTTTTATGCTACAGGAATAAACAAACTTATTTCTCATTGGCAAAAATGTGTTGATTGTGATGGTTCCTATTTTGATTAACAAAGATGTGTTTGAGCCCAGTTATAATGATTTAAAATTCATGGTCCGAAACCGCAATTGTTTTTGCACCAACCGAGTACATAAAGGCCACCTGTTGGAAACCTAAGGAGAACTTGTCAAAAACATAACCGAGGGCTGGGCGCGGTGGCTCATGTCTGTAATCCTAGCACTCTGGGAAGCCGAGGCGGGCGGATTGTTTG